GGTTGTGAGTTTGAGTCTCAGTGAATGTGTTATTGACTCTATAGTTGAGAAAGTAGACCACATTGTAATAGAGTCAATAGCATTAAAAAAAATAATAATAAGAGTGATACACAAATCCTGGTCAACAAACACTAAGTACTTCTCCATATAAAATCAACCAGATGCCATATGGACATGTTGTGTAGTGAAACTCCCAACTCCCAATCTTTATATATATATATATATATATATATATATATATATATATATATATTGCATAATAGATTCTTTTAACAATCACTAACGAGTTCGTTTTTAACCTCTACCTACGAACACTACTAAATAAATAGCCTTTCAACATATTTACATATTTTCTTCGCCAACGTATCGTGAATTACAACCCATATTTATAGATAGTCTACCGAACATAACTGAGTAACGAAAAGTTAGAGTAAGGTAAGTATCAATAGCGTTGGTAGTTACACGGTGGGATTCAACTACTCCGTCCTTAACACGATTTTAAGTTAGATCCATCCATCCAGGCCTTTATGAGTATCATCACTGAGACACATCTCGCTATTTATCTTTCAATGATACCTTATAAAAGAAACAATGAGACCCTTGAGATTGAAGTTCCACCTTTTTATTTACAAGCATTTGACCATTGTCTATGGACATGTGTAATGAAACTTCCTTCTTTTTTTTTTTTTTTTTTTTTTTTTTTTTTTTTTTTGCGCACTAGTTTGTTGTAACAACCACTAACGAGTTGTTTTTAACCTTTGCTATCGAAAATGAACACCACTAAATAAATACTCTTTCAATATAGTTGCATGATTTTCTTCGCCAACACATCATGAATTACAACTCATATTTATAGTCTATCAAACATAGTTGAGTAGTGCAAAAGTTAGAGTAAAGTAAGTATCAACAATGTTAGTAATTACACTGTAAAGTATTACTGATAACTCGATTTTAAGTTAAATCTATCCATCAAGACTTTTTTGTGAGTATCATTACAATAATAAACTCCTGATTTCTAATTTATTGAGACACTTTCCTCTATTTATCCCTAATAAGAGACCCGACTAGAGTTACACCTTTTTATTTACAAGCTTTTAAGTTTTGACCATTGTTGTTTAGTGTCAAGCACTCAAATCTTTCAACTAAACCCTCACGTTCAATCTTCCATTTTCTCCTGCAACTTGACACCTGGGAGATAAATCAGTAAGTAAGCATATCAATCCAGTTTCTCTTTGTTCCTTGTCTCTTTCTATATATATACCTTCCTGATCTGCCATTCTTTTTGTCATTTCTTCCCCATTTTCACTTCCCCCACTTCCTCGCCTCCGGAAATACAATCTGGGTCTTCCCCAAATCGGGCCTGAAATTGCAGATTCATCGTTTTTAAGCCCCATTTATGGGACTTTGGAGGAGCTTTTTGGGCTCAGATTCGGAGAAAGAGTAAAGCATTGTGCAGTGATGTCTTACAACACCGCAACAGGCTATTCCGGCGACCATGAATTCCATTCTGCCGGTAACTATGATGCTAGTTGTTGCTCGAGTCCCAAGACGTCGGCGGAGCTGAAGGTCTACCAAGCTTTCATCTTTTCCGTCCCCATTTTCTTCGCCTTCATACTCCTCTTCTTGTTCTATTATTTTTATCTCCGCCGTCAAAGCGCCGATTGGTCTTCTCTCAGGATGCGAGCTTCTTCGTTGCAGACCGGAGTGAATGAGATTTCAAGAGTATGAGAAAAATTTTGTATTGATCTTTGAGGAATATTTTGTTATTTGTGGGTTTGAGGGGTTTTTTTTTTAAATCTTTTTTGTTTTGTATGTGCAGTGTGAGTTGGGATTGAAGAAGGAGCTGAGGGAGATGCTGCCCATTATTGTGTTCAAGGAGAGCTTTTCAGTCAAAGAAACTCAGTAAGTGACAGTTTTGTTTTTTGTTTTTTTTTTTTTGACAAATTTTCTTTTGCTTTTATGCTTTATGTTATTCCTAAGATAAATCTAAGTGCAAGTATTAATTTTCCTGTTTGGATTTGAATCTTTTGGATGTGGAGGGAAACCGAGAGTGTGCACTAGTTAAACCATGTCTTGTGAACCTGCAAAGGATCAAAGCAGTTAAGTAAGTCTAAGTTACCCATAGCTGACTAGCTCTTGAACCATGAAGCCTAATAGGCCGCTCCCACTAGGGGGTCGAACTTGGGAATTATGACTCTAGCTGGCAAAGGACCCCAAGGTAAAACAACCCAGGTTGTTCATAGTTGATCGGCTCAACCAATAAGGCCAATAGGTTGCTCCCACCGGGAGTTGAATTTGAAACTTTGTGGTTATCAAGCAAACAACATGACCAATTTGGTTGGGGTTGCCCCTGAATCTTTTCATTTATGATCATTTGTCCATATATGCTGATAGTTGTTAATTGCTTTGTTTGTGTGTGAGATTGTGTCCTCTATGAGAGAGAGAGAGAGAGAGAGAGAGAGAGAGAGATGTGCAGCTTCAAGATTTTGATTCTGTTTCAGCCTTGACAGTATAAAATTAGGTTAGTTTTGCATTGACTACTTCAGTTGCTTGGTGGAGCAGATATTGGGAGTTTTTATTTCAAACTTGGAATGTGATTTAGTGATTAGATGCAAGTCTTTGGTGCGATGGCCTCGACGATATAAAACTAGTTTAGTTGGTGTCAACGATATAAAACTAGTTTAGTTTGCGTCAATGATATAAAACTAGTTTAGTTGGTGTCGACGATATAAAACTAGTTTAGTGGGCGTTGACGATATAAAACTAGTTTAGTTGGTGTCAACGATATAAAACTAGTTTAGTTGGCGTCAACGATATAAAACTAGTTTAGTTGGTGTCGACGATATAAAACTAGTTTAGTGGGCGTTGACGATATAAAACTAGTTTAGCTTCAAGTGGAACGAGCATTGTTAAGCAGATATGGGCAGTGCCAAAATAAGAAATTTTTGCTTTTAAAGATTCAAGAATTGGTTCATATAGAATCATTTATTACTTATTAGCAACTATTGCCTATTGGTTTTACTACTAAAAAGGTCAACTATTATATAAGACACCCCTGTTTTGGCAAAACGATTGTATACTGGCTAAATATGATGCTGGCTACCAAGGTTTATTTGGGACTCCTTATTTGCCTATGCCTGGAATTACTATCCCTGATTTACGTAGCAGAGATAAACCATGCCGTGAAGTGCCCTAAAAGCTAATGTCTAATAGCGCGATATAGAAGCAAGCCTATATATAGAAAATATGTTCGGTTGCTCTTGTATATCTGTTTATCAATGCTATGCTGTTAGAAAAATGCATTTCACCCGTGAAATCTGCAGTTTATCTTTTACACGCTGTTTGCTCGATCATATTATGTCGTGCTCAATTTTGGTAAAAGGTAATAGCCAATGTAGGTTCTTTCTCGGTTTTTTACATTAGGTTTGCTTCATTTCCTGAAATCTGTCCATTTCTTCATAGTTCATGTGTGTTGAGCATATAACCATTAATGTGCAATCCAACTATCAGCTTAGGCTTTTAGTTAAGGAGTACATATTTCAATTTGGTATCAGAGCCAGACCAAAGGTCATGGGTTCGAATCTCTACGTCACCCCCCCAGAGATGGAGTACATGCTTAGCAGCCAACGTTTTTGCAAATTTAATTGCTCATCGCGTATTCTCTCTGTGTTTTTTTCTTCTCTCAGATGTTCGGTGTGCCTAGGGGACTACCAAGCAGAGGATCGGCTTCAACGAATACCGATCTGTGGGCACACGTTTCACATGGATTGCATCGACCACTGGCTAGCTACTCGAACAACTTGCCCACTCTGTCGCCATTCCCTCCTGGCTCCCTATCAACCTTCAGGCGAAACAACACGTAACAGAGCAGAAACCGTCCCCCGATCTTCCAATGCCGAAGATGACACATCTCTCCAAGCTAACCAAACGCTTCCCGAGCCTGGAACCAGCGGCGAAAGAGTCACTATAGTCCACAGCCAAGAAGAGCAGAGAGTTGGTACCCAAACAACCTCAGAGGCTAGGAATGACAGAAGTGAAACTATGGAGGATAAGTAGCAATTTGTATTGTTTGAATGTGTTTGTAATTTGTAAATGACCCTTGAGATAAATTACCCGAGTCGGCCCAATTTGCTGGTTAGAATTGAAGGGTGCATTTCGTCTCAACTGAAAGTTTAAATCGATAGTGAGACTTGTAAGATTTTGTATCTGGTCAAATAAAAGGGGTTGTTCTAGCTGCTTGTATCATTGCCATTTGCCTAAGTGACTATGTCTGCCCCATGTTATATTTAGTTCACCCTTTCAAGTTCATTAAACATTTCTTGAAAATTTTTGTAACTGATTTGGTACATGGATTTGGAAAGTCAAAATGTGACAAATGTGCTTTTATATTGGGAAAATTTTATTTTTAGTCTCACTCTCTCGGTTGAATTCGTTGTATAGTCCTTTTAGTGCGTTTTACTTCTCTTGTGTGGTTTGTGAGTTATTACTTTGGAACGTGATTTACTTAATGTACACTTTTAGGTAGTGGCTGCATGGTTATGAGTTTTTATCGTCACAAAATTAAAAAAGACTCCGTATTTAATATCACGATCATAATATTTAGTGACTTTGTCCACACGCTAGAGAATGTTTGAGTTCTAAAAATAAAAAATCGAAATTCGAGTCGAAACCGAATTTTTCAAACTGAATTAAAACCAAGTCGAATTAAAATTTGAAACCGAATGGTTTCATTTTCTCAAAATCAAAACTAAACCGATCTGAAAATCAAAACACCCTCCCTAATAAATTCTGCTCATTTATAATAACTCGCAAACTACATGAGAAAAGTAAACTGCCATAAAAGAACTGATAATCTTTTGATACAAGAATTATATTTCACCTATTTCCGGGGACAAATGTTTACATCTTCCTTACACTACCTAATGAAAAAAGTTTGAATTTTTCTTAAAATCAGATAGCCAGTGTAACAGTAAAGAGAGAAAAGATAGCATGCGTTTGGTGGGTACTTGGGTGCGGTCTGGCATTCCTTCCGTATTCCACAGCCTGGGACTCGCAATTGGAACTGGGTCAGCAGCAATCCTCATCATAAATTCATCATCTACCATAAATAAATCCATCATCATCCTTTAATAAGTCCTCCAGTTGACCTGATCACTTGCTCTCCTTTCGCATTTTCCTCTCTCTCTCTCTCTCTCTCTCTGCTCTCTGGACTCTGGGTGTGCTTCAAACCGTTTGAGAACTGAACAGGTAACATTTTCTGGCTGATTGGTCAAAGATTTTAGCCTTAATCTTTTGATTTTTGCTTTGATTCTAGTCCAAGACTGAAACTTTGATTTAGGGTCTCTGGAGAAATCTGATAATTCTTGTTCTTTTTAATTTCTGTTGGTATTTGGAATGGTGATAGGGCATTCTGATCTTGTGCAGATGGGTTTGTTGGTTCTCGAAGATTAGGGAAGAGCAGGCTTGATAGAGTTATGAAAGACTTTATTCTTGATTTTGAGTACTTGGCAGAGGAATTGGTTTGGTATTTTGGGGATTTTTTCCAGCTTGTTTCTGATGAATTGCTAGCTTTCTGTATGGTCTTTGCCTCTTTATCTGAAGATCTTCTTGTCCATTTTTATTCCCAAATCTTGATTGCTTGAAGAAATTTCCTCCAAAAATGGGAACTTTATTGCTGTGGTAGTGTGATTCTGAAAGTACTGTACTTGTTGGTGAAGAAATTTCTTCAAAAAATGAGGATTCTGAACGTACTTAACTTGTTGGTGAAGAAATTTCCTCAAAAAATTGAAACTTTATTGTTGTGAAATTGTGATGCTGAAGGTACTTGTTGGTGAAGAAATTTCCTCCAAAAATCGAAACTTTATTGTTGTGAAATTGTGATTCTGAAGGTATATGGTTTTGGTGGCTTGGTGCTAGGGAGATTGAGGTGTATTGGTGGTTTGAGAGATTTGATTTGGTTGTAGATTGAAGATTGAAATCCATCTTTTTCATAGATGGATTCATCGAAAAAAGGCGTTAGTTATTGCTCTGTATCGAAGGGGGGTCGAGTTTTATACACGTACAACGATGGAGGGCTCGAGATTGAGAACTTGGCTGCGTTATGCTTAGAGAAGGCGCCTCCCCACCACAGATGGTATTTCCAGACGATGGGTAAAAGGACGTTTTGTTTTCTAATGGAAGATGGCTATGTCTATTTCGCGATTGCGGAGGAGGCTCTTGGCAATGCGGGAGTTCTTCAGTTTCTTCAGAACCTGAGACACGAATTCAAGAAGTTTTCGAGGAGGGGTTCGAGCAGGAGCATGTCGAGTCTGAGCTCGCTAAGCTCTGTCCAGGAACAGCTAGTTCCCGTCATCCGGAATTTAATTACCTCGCTCGAGCATGTCTCGGGCGGCGACACCGACTGGCCCGCCGGCGTCTCCGCCTCGTCCTTCACCGACGCAAACGGGCAAATAGAAGGCGGTTCCTCGACGAGAGCGCCTCTATTGAGCAAGTCGGGCAAGTACTACGACAAGAAGAAAAAGAAGGAGCATGCTATTGCTATGAGGGATATCGAGATGGAGGAGCACAGGAAGTCGACGGAGAAGGTTAGGGGAGTCGATTCGGGAGCTCGGGATTGTAACAGCTATGGTGCATCGGGCTCTCCAGCGTCCCTAACGAAGGAATTTGGGTCGGGAAGGACGAGGGCAAGTAACCCGAACTTCCAAAAGAAATGGTGTTGCCTAGTTAGGATTGTTCTCGCTGTTGATGCTGCGGTTTGTCTCCTCCTCCTCGTGATATGGCTCGTGGTATGCGATGGAACAAAATGCCTCGGTTGAAACCCGAACTCTTCCTATCATCGAAATTTTCTTGTGATGAAAGACCGAATGGAAAGGAGGCATTGGCATCTACATCAAGCACAATATACACCCCGCCCGGCATATATTAACCATAAACCTCGTTTGTACAGAAACCGTGAGCTTGTATACAACATGAACCCGGTAGAACTCAAAGCAATCGGATCATCGCAGCTCAAGTTTGAATGCTTCCTTTACAATAATTTGGTTTGTTTTGCCTTGCACCTTTTCATGTTGCATTAGAAGTGTGCAAAAATCTCAGCTTGCAATAATGAGAATGATGTGATGCTGCACTTCTTGCATTTAGGTTGTCAGACATAATCCACTACATATGCATCCATTTTCACAAACATTAACTTAGGCATCATGTTGTTTCATTACAATCTCCAAATGATGCTTAGGAAGTGGTTGAGATGTTTCTTTCATGATTGAGCCAACTTTATAAGCTTTGAAAATTGAGTGTCAACTTGATGGAAATCTCATTTTCTTGGAAAAATGGTTAAATATGCTATTTTGTTTTATATGAAAAGTCAATTAAGTAGCAATTAAATACATTAATATGTATGGAAAAACCAATATGGCTAGCACTTTGCCCCTTAATTGGGTCGCTCGGTGCGAACAGGGATTAGTCTGAGTAAGGTGCCTCTTACAGTTAGGGAACATTAATTTGTGATTTTTGTGCATATGGGCCGAATGATTGGCAATTCCCCTATAATAGTTGGTTATTAGGGTTTCGATACACAAAACCAATGACGGTTACGTTATTGGGATTAGATGCAAGAAAATCACATGTTGATGTGTTTAATTGTTACTTTAAAAAGTTGAGGGGTTTAATTTACTTTTCGTATAAAGTTCAGGGGTCTATTTAACCATTTTTTTGAGTGCAATTTAGCTATCAGCTCAGAATTGCAGTTGTGCAAAGCCAATAATAATAACACAAGGGGTAATAATAACACAATCCCTTGTGGGCACTAGTATGCTTTTGGTCCCTACTCAACGACAAATTATGTTGTGCATCCGTGTGGACCATGTGTGCAAAAAGACGTCGTTTTAACTAAAATCGCGCGTCCCACTTAAAAAAAATCAATTTTGATTCCCAGCAACAACATTATGTCGTGCATAATTTGAACTATATATCCAGAATGAATGAACTAAAAATTCAGAATGAATGAAAAAAAAAATCAGTTTCGATTTCCGTCTAAATATCCAGAATGAATGAACTAAAAATCTAGAATTGATGAGCACAACATAATGCTGTTGACGAGAATCGAAACTGATATTTTTTTTCTAAAGTATGACGCTCGTTTTTAGTCAAAACAACGTCATTTTTGCAACCGTGTGCACCATGGTGCACACGGTAGCACAGCATAACGATTGTTACTCAACGGGACACAACTCCTAATTTATCTCCTCTACAATGCCCTAGAGATATAACATATATGATATGTTATGTGCAAAATTTATCAAGAAAACTATAAAGTAGTTGTCGATGCCCATATTCTCAATCAAGAAATGAATCTTCTTCCTAGGCTAGCCATTAATTACAATACAAACTAAAGCAGTCTTAATACAAAATTATAAGATCAATATATAAGTTTCTTCTGAAAATAACATATGCTTGAGAGGATGAAGACCTGAGTCCTAACCATGGTTGATGAGTACGTTTAGGTGAACTTAACCCAAGAGACCCCAAAATATCTCCCAAGGGTAACTTATCACCATTAATAATGGATTCCAATGCCCATGAATTCATCAGATCAAGAAATTATATTATTAGCTCTTTAGTAATAAGGGGACTAAAACTCCCAAGATCTAGTCCCCAAATATACATACAACAGTAGTAAAAAGAACAAAAAAACATCATTAAAGCCATGGCTCTGACCCTAAAGAGAGATGGCTAAACATGTTAGGACACAATTTTTTTTTCGGTCTTCTCCAAAACCACAATACTAAAATAGACTTAGAACATGTTAGAGATCGATCGAGGATATTTACTTATGTTTTTCCTCTCGATCTGTCACGTTAGACGGGATGTCTCACTTGTGAAGACAGATAACAAAACCCTAATTTCATCTACATGCAATGAGCTAGTCTTTTGAAGATCATCATGATTTGAAAAGTGCAGGGTTTTTGTCTAAAGCTAAGTTATGATCCACAAAAAGGGTTAAATTCCCTAAATGGTTACATTTCCTTAGCCTTTCCGAGGCTAAGGTTTCAAAGGAAAAAAAAAAAGAAAAAAATGGTACCAACACAGCTTCATCGTCTGAGACAGCTTGGTTGGGTACGATGATTGTAAATGCACATGCATATATGCTTAGCTTCTAGCACCTTCTGTTTTCTCTTGAGAGAACCTTTCCTGTCAAGAGAAAGACGAAGACGAAGACGGAGATCGAGGTTTACTTTGCTCCGAATTCGGGGAGGGAGCCCCTACACGAGGCTCCAGTGGTGGAGATATCGGATGCCATATCCGAGACTCGCTCCGGTGAGGAGGAGGAGGCTGAGAACCGCCAAAGGTACGGTGGTTGAATCTCTCTTTTGATCATTCTTGCTTGGGGCATGCAGGCATGGATGTTTTCAACGGTGAGGAATGGGTGCACGCGCCGCCGCCACGGTCACGCCTGCGGCACAGCAAAACAAACTGTCAAAGCAATTAGTACCGCATTTTCAAGAACGTACAAATCCGATAACATTGTCACACTTTTACAACATTGTCACAATTGATCTTTTGGCCTAATTTCTAATCATTGATAATTAAATTTGTATCCCATGTTATTAAACACGAGTGTATAATAATCAAGTAACTTATTGTAAATGATAAATTTGTCATTTTTATGATTTTTTAACTAAAAAATTGATCATTAGTAACCAGAAATTAGATCGAATGATCAAATGTAACAATGTTTAAAGTCGTGGGGTTTAGTGTAAAAAGAATTAATAATCAAGATTAAATATGAAAATGATCTAATAATAATCACCGTATTTTTTTTTAGATTAATTCATACTCGTATGTAAGTAAAGTGGTTAGATACAAACCTGATTGCACCGGAGTTGTGTGTGCCGCCAGAGAAATGGGGGTGGCGTAGTGTTGCGCCGGGAACCCCGCGGTGGTGTTAATGGCGGCTGAGTACGGAACCAGGTGATGGGGGTACTGGACCCCGTAGGCGGCCTGGCTGGCCGTGTAGCCGCCGGTGGTGGTGGCTCCACCACTTCCTTCGCCAAAATTCAGGTAAGGGTAAAAGGCGGCCGCCGCCGCCGCAGCAGATAACATCCCGTTGGTCCCAGTACCATACATTGCGGCATACTGTGCTGCCGTCGCGCCTCCATACATACCATAGTACCCCTAAACAAATAATTAAACAAGATTTTAATTGGATTAATTCTTTAAAAAAAAAAAACAAATAATCACATTTCGTAATAACAAATTTGGATACTTGTGCTATAAGACATAACAAATAGATAACACAACATCATAGTACAAAGATTTGGTCGGATTAACTTTTTATTATTTATTTATTTAGCATTATCCAAATTGCACAGGGACTTAAAAGTAAAAGAGTCTGGTTTTGACCAGTCAAAAAATAGGAGAAATGATGACTGCACCTTATTAAAAGTCAAAGATTCTTAACTCTAAGCGTGAAAAGAACAGAAGAAGAAAAGGCATCCTATGTCTTCTAGGGTAACTGAAACTAAAATTTGAGAATTTTTACTAAGATTGATTGTAAAATAATTCTTGTTTCATATCGTCTTATCTAGATATGTAATATTTTTTAATTAAAATATATTACTTTTTTTTTTATAGATCTATAAATATCGTTATATATTTTAAATAAAAAGTATTATATGTCTCACACAAAATCGTTATCTGAAAGTGCGCTTTAAGTGAAATTTGATTGGACCATAACGAGATAAACTAGTCTAGATTGTCCATATTTGATTGACTTAAATCAAGAATGTTAATAGACAACTTCTTCCTTTATAATAAAAAAAACTAGCTTCTATGAAGAGTTGAACTTGAAATATTGTAGTTATCAAATCAACTCTCTCACACAAAATCAATTCTTGATCTTATATGAGATCGTTTGATGTACTTGTAACATCTTTTAACAAAATTTTCTTTATTTATTTTTATTTTTTATATTTTTTATATCAGTGTTCATTGATAAGTTAAAAATTATACTAGTTGATTTTTATGATGTTAGTTGCTAGGGTTTTTCTGAGCTACTTTATGCAAAGATCAAAGTGAAAGTACAAACCGTGGGGTAGGTGAATTCTGGAGAATATGAAGAGTACCTGACAACGAAATATAAACAAGAAAGCCATTAGAATGTGAAGGAGCTAAGCTAGCTTGATATTCAAGTCAGAAAATTTCTTTTTCTTTTTTAAATTTATAGGAAAGTTCATAGTCGCTACTTGAATGTGTAATATGGTTAAATAACTTCAAAAGGAGGTAAATCAATTTAAATTGTCTACAATTGTTTAAATCGAGAAGACAAATTAAAAAAAGCTCCTAAATAAAGACAAATTTAAAATCTAACCTTGTGATTACCAAGTCAATCGTCCGACCAATTCCATATTGAGATTGACTAGTTAGATTGAAGTATGAAAATTTCTGAGTCATTGGATATTCCTAATGTATATTATAGTCTATAGTGTAAAAGGTGGACCAATGTACCAAGGTTTATTGCATCATAAGGGGTTTCATGAATGTAATAGGGAAGAAAAGAGAGTGATTGAAGGAAAGGATAAGAAAAATCACATCTACTCTCTTCTGAGGGTATGCACTAGATAAATTTAACTCCTACGTAATAGTCTATAAATCATACAAGAAAGATAAATCATATCGCACTAAGAAAACCCAGTGCGACGAATTCAACTAAAATGTATTGAGTTATGTTCCACCCACTCAATCACCTAGCTATTTCGAGATCCCCAAATCCCCATACAAGTGAATACATTCTTAAACTTTTTAAAACTTTAATAAAACGGTCATTCGTTTAAAAATGATAAAATTATACAACTACACATACTATTTTTTTTATTGTACCAGATCTTATTAATATTAGTACCAATGCAATTAGATATACTAAACATAATTATATATGATATAGAAATAGAGATAAGATGGAGTAAAGTAGAGATGCACATGTATATATACCCATAAAGATTATAAGGTAGGCCTTGTTGGATGGCATAATGATGAGGGAAGGTTGTTGCAGAAGGAAAGGCTGTAGCTGTTGCTCCAAACCCTCCTTGAAACCCACTCATTGCCCTAAAATTTCTCACTCCTCCTCCCCCTCCTCCTGCTAAATCAAACATTATTATTTCATGTTAAAACCTCCCTAAATTAATATACTAAACAAGAAAATGCATATAAACTCACGAGAATAAAGTGTAATCTGCATATTCAGCAACGAATTAAATAGTTACCGTTTAAACGCTTACAAATTTCATTATTATATATTTATTGAAATTTATGTGCAGACTAATAAATACTTACGGATTTCAGTAATTTACTTACAGATTTTTCCGTTACTAAATTGAATGATTCATTAGTATTGTGTGTGAACAATGATTGTGTTTGTGGAAAGAAAAGAGTGAATTATTGAATATTTTGGCAAAAGCAAAAGTGTTGTGTGTGTGTGTGTAGTCTCTCACACTACATGAGAAAGAGTAAACAAAAATGAGCTGTCATTGCCTTCCCTTTCTATAACATATATCTTGTCACATGGTCATGCTAGCTGGTGGTTGTAAAGCAAAAGAAACCAATTCCATTAATTCAAAGTGGCACTACCCTCCACCCCACCCCCTCCCTCATTATTCAACCCTACATATACATACACATATATACATACATACATATACACACACCATTCAAAATTTCAAAGAATTCAACTTTGTTTAATTTCCCTAGCTATATTGGGAGAATATTCATGTTTCCATCAAGAATTTGAAAATTGCTTGCTTTCAAGGGGCACAAACATTATATATGACCAAATTGATCATCCACTAATCAAATTAAAGAAAACTTTAGAACCAAAAAAGAAGGTAAATTAGTACTAGAATGATTCAAAGTTGTTATACTTAGTATTAATTAGTGTGTGTGTGTGTGTATATATATATATATACTAATTTTATATATGTATACTATTGACACTATGGAAACTCCTAATAGGGTTCAATGGTCATTTTCATCCTACAGAATGTGCAAAGAGAAGAAAATAAAAGACCAACTACTATTAGGCCGGATAAGATTATATATATAAAAGGGAGGGTAGAAATGAGAATTTGGAGGACTCATCTGGTTTATCCATTTGTGTAAGTTAATTAACAATTGAAGATGGCTGAAAAATAAAGAGAAAATGAACGTGGTCAGTTTTATAAATATCGCAAATTTAAATATTTGCGATAGTTATAAAATTGATTTGTGTTTTTTTTTTTAATTAAAATTTCACTATTGATGAACCCTAATAGATATCTGATCTATAATTAATCTTTCGTTTTTATTTGTTCTCATTTGAACTCAATTCTATATATATATATGTTTATGTATATGTATGTAAGTATGTATGTATATATACCATGTTTAGGTGTAGAAGGCTTGGATCTTTGAACACCCAAAGAAGCAAGATTGCAGTTGGCTCTTCTCCCATCAATCACTGGTGCAGCATCAACACACGCTCTCATGGCTGCTTCTGCCTCACGAAACGTTACCTAATATGGAAACAAACCAACCACCCCTGTCATCTACTACACCTTCTAATCTTTCTTCAAAATTATATATATCAGAAAACCCTAATCCGCCAATCAACACCGTTATCGGTTAATTGACAGTATCGGGACAACTCCAACCAAGTTGGTCAGACTGTTTTAATTGCCGTTCTGGAAGCAGACTATATGGGCAACTTAGATTGGTTCTAGAACCACAAGGCACGATACCCAGCACACTTTCAGATAGTGACTCTGGGGCAATAGACATTGGTGTCAATCAGCATTATATGGTTTTCGGGGAAAATAATAATAATAAAGATTAGTGTAAACAGAATTGAAAGAAGAATATAGATATATACAAAGCCATAGCCTTTTGATCTGCCGGTGGCCTTATCGGAGATGACAACAGCCTCCAAGATTTCACCGAACTGTTCAAAGTACTTCTCCATGGTTTCTTTCTGAGTCTCCCATGCCAGCCCGCCCACAAAAACCTTGGTGTATGTCGTGTCTCCGAACTGCTGCCCATTCATGTTGTTGCTCATCTTCAATTCTCAGCTCGCTGTCTTTTCTTCTCTGATCAAGATCTTCTCTCTCTCTCTCTCTATATATATATATATATATAGCTCGCCCAGCTTTCTGTATGTGTGTATATATATATTTGCTTGCTCTTTCTGCAGATCTGTATAAACTTACCTGTGGATGAGGATGTATAGAATTGAGAGGCAAAATTAGGGATTTTTTTAAAGAGAGAGAGAGTGTGTGTGTGAGAGAGGGAGAAAAACAGGAGGGAAGATCAGAGAAAGCAAATGACAGCAGATAAATAGATCGAAGAAGGGTAAATTTCAATTGGATCCTTTCTCTTTTCACATTTTGCATTTAGGCCCCTACTCTTTAAACTTTTTAAATATTATACCCGACTCCCGGATGCGGGATGCCTCCACCTGCCCGGTTGACCCCCCCCCCCCCTCCCCTCCCCCACCGCACCCCACCCCACCGCACCCCACCCAAAACATGGTCACAATATGACAAATTTCATACATCTTTCTGTTGAGCATATAACCATTAATGTGCAATCCAACTATGAGCTTATGCTTTTAGTTGAGATGGTGCACATGCTTTAATTTGGTATCAGAGCCAAACCAAAGGTCATGGGTTAGTTGAGTTATATATTCGAGAGCAATTCTAGCTCTTTAAAATTTTTAAGAATTATGTATTTTTTTAACGGAATTTTAAAATTTTTTTAACTAATGAAAATGTGAGAAAATAAAGAATATATTTACTTGTGCATTTCTATAATTTGAAAAATAGAGAGTGAAATATACAAAATTAAAAATTAAACTATTAAAGTAAACATAGCTTTAACATTTTCACTAACATTATCATATTATACCCCTATGAATAGAAGGAAAAAAAAAAAACAAATAAATAAAAAACTCTCATAGTACATTATAAAGTACCCATACCTACATTCATGCCAAACTGCCAAATTGCCACTTGCTAGCCTAGCTCTCTCCCCCACTTCTTTATATAATTTATTTTTTTAGGGTACAATTAAATTAAATATTAATCTTATATTATATAAATTAAATATATATTATGCAAGTTATCAATAATTGATTGACTCAAATCGAGAATATCATTAATAGAAAGCTCCCACAAGAAATTAATTTTGAAACTTTATAATTACCAAGTTGATTGTTGGACTAATTCGACTATAGTTATTGTCAATATATATATAGACACACACGCACACCTACACACAATTGTATGAGTGCTTAAACATTAATTATTACTCCACCCTCTATTACAAATATATAATCCAATAATTTTCAGGTGCAATTTCAATTCATTGTTCTCCCGTGTGTATGACCAAAATTAAAATTTGTCCTATATAAATGGTTATGTTAAATTATAAATATTAAACATAGATGTATTTACTTAGTGATATATTTGAAAGTATGTATACTAATGTAAATTAAAAACTTTAAATATTTAATTTATATTTTCAAATAATTGAACTTAAAGACTTATTGAAGATTAAAATAATAGAATGGGATAATTATTTAAAGGGGGTGGGGAACAAGTATATATTAACTTGGAAGATATTTCTAAATTATATTTTAATTTATATATGGAGTTATAGGTAACCCAATTGTTTGTATGTACTATTACAAAGCTTGATTATTCAGCCACCATTACTAATTAAAGGACACCAATGTTATGTGTCGTAATAACATAAATAGCTTGAGATCCTATATATATAGCACTCGAATAGTCGAATCTCACATTCTTGGACTTCTCATATATATCTCACATCTTATTTGTTTGTTTGTTTTTTCCCCACTAATTGATTTGAATTACTACATCTACTTGATCGAAACTGTTTGACCATCTTTCTCAATCTCTTTTATATTCGAGCTTTAGTGTTTTGCAGTGTCTTATTTACACTCAAATCAATATATATATATATATATATATATATTCTTCATTCTCTCTCGACACATTTAATGTAAACACGAATCCTTACTTCGATTTAATTTGCACTATCAATTTGAATTTAAATTATGAGAAAACTTTGATGAATAGTATAGGAAGGTAGTGATAGACATGGTAGAATTGAGGTAAAAAACAACAATACAAGAATTTTGTTTTGGGGGGTGGGGGTTTCCTAAAATCAAAACACTCAATGATGTTGCCCTCGCAACGTACATGTGTACCGACACTTCATTGCAAGCTGTCTCCAACTTTAAATAAATAAACAAATAAGAAAATTGTTTTTTTTTTTTTTATATTTAAATTATATCATAATATTTATTCGCTATGAAATATTATCTATATAATTTTTTTAAAAAATAAATATGTATTAATCTTATCATAAGCCAATAAGAAATCATCAATACGTACGATAAATGCGTCAATACAATAATGACAAATAAAATGAATATTAGAGGATGCAAATTTATGGTGATATGGCAATAATGTTAGAGGGTAAGATTGTAATTTTCATAATATTATAAAACTGGTGAAACGATGTCGTTTCTGAGCCATTGCATTGCTAGTTGCTAGCCACCTTGAAGAAGTCTTTTTTTTTTTCTTTAGTACTATTGACACGGTTACAATACAGTATCTGTTCATAACTACTTTCTCAACCTACTGAAGCACAAAGTGTCAATATCACTTTCGTTGAGGCTCGAATCCACAGCCTCCCATATGGGAGAGCACAAGGTCCTTGGCACTTTGAAGAAGTCCTAGAGCCACTGTTAATCCCAGAGGAAGAAACTGCTACAAACCAAACATGGAACATTAAAGAGGAAACTATATATTATAAACAACGTTGTTGATAGTACGTGCCATGAAAATATGATTGGGCGTATAGTACTGTAGTATACTTTAAGAAATATTGTTTTCGTTATCTACATTGATTGAATTGAATGAAAGACAAAAGGAAAAATAAATGTAAGTGATGAAGAAGGAAACTATGACCGCTTAATCATTGTTTGTAGCTTCTATGAATTAACACCGTAATCTTTTCTTTTCCAACTTCTATATTGTCCACAAAAAATGGTGGTCGAGCCTACGTGCGCAGCTCAATTGTCCACAAAAAATGGTGGTCGAGATCAAAATTGAGCTCAAATTCGAACCTAAACTCAAGTTCGAATTCGAGCCTAAACTCGAGCTCGAGTTTAGGCTCGAATTTGAGCTCGAGCAGCTCAACAATTGCCGAGCTCGAGCATCAGTTCACGAGTTCGAACGAGCTCGAGCAGTGCTATCATTAACGAGCTCGAGCAGTGCTATCATAACGAGCTCGAGCATGAGCCTACCCAGGCTCGGGCTCGGCTCGTCTCGTTTACACCCCTATTTATCTTTTCATTATTGTGTCGAGCATAAAATAGTGGGTCGAAAATACGCGTTTTTCCAGCCTAGTTATTGGTTTAGGTAGCATATATGGATTAGTTCCATGTTTGTTTCACTGAGCCTTCAACAACTTCATGGGAAGTTTGGTGTGGACTACGATTCATGAATAGTCTATGTAGAAGTTCCATAGTTACTTGCCAATGATAAGGATGTTTTTGGGATGCCCTAGTGCAGTTGAAATCCATACAATAAGTTCACCTGTTCCTCGATCATTTGTGAAGGTTACGTTTCAGAAGAGATGAGATTAGATATTAGATTGTACTTTCAAATTGAACCCAACTTGCTTTTATTATTTTAGTTACTTTTAACTCACAAGTCGATAAATGTCGTAGTCATGCCGAACTATTGAGTATATAATATATAAACATTAACATGCAGTTCAACTATTAGCTCAAACTTTTAATTGAGACAGAACTACGAGGTTGTGCATTAGGTAAATTTCATTAAGCTAAATAGGAGTTAGTCACTAATAACAAGGTAAAACAAGAAATTAGGGTTAGCAATGCAGTTACAAGACCAAGAATCTTGATTTATGCACTTTTACACAAGGATTGTTGCTTGGGAAGGCACACGCCCCGATGCCCGTCCAGCTACGACATTTCTTCGTGATAGAGGTGAAGACCTAGCCCGAGGCGAGCACAAGCACGACGGAAAGCCATTGCCTCTGCCTTCTGCACAGCATCACCAAAGCCCGGCTCGTCTACTGAAACAGTGCCCGTTGATTCCCGGTATATCTGGACAACACAAGAACGAAACAAAGCCAACCCCGTTTCATGCTTATTTAAGTCCTAACTCGGGCCAAAAAGTTTACAAATACATGGCTTAGGCCTCATAGATCTTACTAGCTTCAATTGCAAAAGAAACTCTCGAGAAACTATCCTAAATCATAAAACACAACACATACATTTGAAAAGCACCCCGGTGACAAAATATTTCATAGGTTTTCAGTAATCAGAGAGCTAAAAGCACGAGAATTTAAGTACAATTCAAGCTTGCGGTGTATGTATAGTAACCACTATACAAAACATATCGACAGGAAATGCTCGATAATAGGACTAGTAATCATGCTATAGAGCAAAGCGAAGAAGGTACCTCAGCATCAGTTCCATAAAGCGTCACTCTGTAGACAACTGATACCGACTTTCCATCAGCGGAGTATGTGATGCTTCTGACCTCGCCAGACCATTCTACACTCGATAAAGGATTCAAAAAACCAAGTTATACCGACCAAAAAGAGAAAGTAGTTTGCATAATGGAATAATCACAAGTAACCTTGCCATACCCGGAGCATGTAAGTTCATGATCCTATTCACGATATGCCTGGACAATCAAACGTAAGCAATAACAATAATAGTGAGATTGCTGAATGCATAAAAGAATAAGGGTAACAGGTAACAATAGGTGAATGATAGCAGATACCACGAGCAAAATATCCCTGATTTCTAGCCCAAATGAATGGCTTAATTGAAGGTCCATAACCTCATATTACAAAGAGGAAAGACTTGTGTAAAGCCCACGATTGTTCATCCTCCATACACAAATTGACTAATACCAAGGCAAGAATCTTATGGTATTGACAATGCGTAGTGGCAAACCTATACCAGCTTGTGTAATGAGAAAGCTCAAACTTTTCGGAGTCAACCCCAGCCAAATTGGTAAGGCTATTGGCTTGGTAACCACAAGATTACAAGTTCCACTCCTAGAATGAGCGGTCTATTGACTTTCTTGGTTTGAGCTGATCAGCAATAAGCAACCTAGGCTGAGCCAAATGGGTAAGGATGTTGGCTTGGTAACCACAAGATTACAAGTTTCACTCCTAGAATGAGCGGTCTATTGACTTTCTTGGTTTGAGCTGATCAGCAATAAGCAACCTAGGCTGAGCCAAATGGGTAAGGATGTTGGCTTGGTAACCACAAGATTACAAGTTTCACTCCTAGAATGAGCGGTCTATTTGCCTTCTTGATTTGAGCTGGTCAGCAATAACTAACCTAGGCTGGTTTACCTCTATGCGGTCCTTTGCCGGCTAGGATAGCAAGGTTTACCCAATGCACAAGTTCAACTCCCTGGCCTATTAGCCTTCTTGATTTGAGTCGATCAACTATAGGCAACCTAGAGTAGTTTACCTCGTTGTGGTCCTTTGCAAGGCAGGATTTATCAATGCACAACTTCGGGTAATAGCTACAAGTTTCCTAGTTACTCAAAAAAGCTCAAACTTTTCAGCTAACTTTAAGGTTCATTCAACAAAAAACCCATACAGAAATTAACTAAAAAGCATCATCCTTTAAGGTTCCCACGGCAATCACAAAACAGCATCATCATCATCAGCAAAGCAGTTACGAATCTACCTTAAAATTTCCGAATATGACGGAGTAAAATCGCAAAAGATACATCCAAAATGCTTCAAATTCTATACAGAACAAGAAAAGGAACTAACCAGGGGATGTATTTGATGGGGAAACCGTCAGCTTCAGTACGAACTCTGATGAGGGAGTCGGGCACTTTCTTGTTGAGATCCTTCAGTATTTCGGAAAGCGGGCGGCTGATTCCGGCGGTCGGAACGGAATCCTCTTCACCGTCCGCGGCATCGTCCTTTTCCCTCCGAGCGCTGCTGCCGCTACCGGCGGAGTAAAACGAGGAAGAAGAGGGTTTTGCGGAGAAGCCCCGCTGAAAAAGGGCGACCCTTTTTACCAGAGTATTACATGTGGACCGAAATGAAGAAGACGCCATTATCTCCGGTTCTTTGACGTCCGACGAGTCCCCGGCGAGGAAAATCGCAGGCACCGCGATTTAAGGAGAGAAGGACGAGGTACGACAGAACAGCTTGAAATTCGCGCTCAACAAAGTGGCGGCCCAATTCAAGTCATAGGTAAATTAGGAATTTCCAAAGTCCATCACTAAAAGCCCAACGCAATTTTAAAATTTTAATTGGAAGAAACGGCACCAGTTCTGCTTCAATCGTTATGTTGTGCAACTGTGTGTACCATGATTGCAAAAACGACATCGTTTTGACTAAAAAAAAAAATAGTTTCGATTTTTGTCAACAACATTATGTTGTGCTCATTTATTCTGTATATTTAGTTCATTCATTCTGTATATTTAGTTCATTCATTCTGGATTTCTAGTTCATTCATTGTGGATATTTAGCTCATTCATTCTGGATATTTAGCTCATTCATTTTGGATATTTAGTTCATTATTCTGGATATTTAGACGAAAATCGAAACTGGTTTTTTTTTTTTTCATTCATGCTGGATATTTAGTTCATTTAGTCAAAACGACGTCGTTTTGTAACCGTGTGCACCATGCATGGTGCACACGGATGCACAACATAATTTGTCGTTCTGCTTAATTACTTCTGTATGTACGACGTATTCAATTTTATTTTATATATATACATTGTAGTTTCATAATTAAAATATTATTTTGTTTTAACTACAGTTTCATTTGATATTATACACTTAATATGTGAGATCTGTCGTTGAATTTCATTTAATACACATTGCAGTTTTATTGGACTCAATTGAACTGTTTTGTTTGATTTAAAGGTCCTAATAAGACCAAGTGGCTTGTGGTCCACTGATATTGGATTGTTCCCTTATGTGGGAGGTATAGGTTTTGAGCCTTAGTGTAGGCGTTACTTTGTAATAAAAAAAAAAAGGTCCCGATAAGATTTTTTTCAAATAGGGAACTAATTGAACTGTACTATTTTCTCAATTTAGATAAATGGATTGTTTGATTTTTTTTTTTCTAAATAAAACTATGACAAATTTACAATGGCATAATGCTATGAGAATTATAATACCGTGTACCTTATAAAATTGTATTTTGTATTTTGTCAAAAGATACATAGGTGAAAGATTATAACTTTGCAAACATACAAAATACCAACTGTACAGTAAATCTTTTCAATAAATTGATTAGATTGTTTACTATTTTGAATTAGTTGCCTAAATATATCTTTACTATTTTTGAATTTGTCACCATGCCAATCATAAGATTCCTTACTCTTTTTTTTCTTCTTCTTTTTTAGCAAAAGTTGAATGGAAAATCTAGCTAGATATATAAAATTGAAGACCATAGCAGTGATGAAGATGTTACATTAACACTTTTGGTTCAATTTAGAAAGCAGGAACATGATTCAAAAAAAAAAAAAAAAAAAAAAAAAAAACTTTTCTAAAAAATGAATCATTCTTCATAAAATATTTTCATTTCCAGTGTTTGATTGCACGGTAAAAAATTGTATTTGTATATTTGGTTCATTTTTCAGAAAAATGAGTATACCAAAATTAAACCAAAATCACAACAAAATAATCAAGGAAAGATCACAAAATTACCGATTGAAAACTAGTTGACCAGATTGGTGTCGCATCAAAAACCACACACGTTACGACAATAATAATAAATGATATTTAATTTAACTATTTATTCCGTAAACCAAACATTCGGACACAAATCGTTTCCTGAATACCTCGCGCCGCCATGATTCAAACGTTTCTCCAAACATTGTCAAAACTCAAAACCAACAGTCAAAGGACAAAAACCTAAAGGCGAATGGGTTCCATTCGGAGTAGAAAATGTGGCATCCGTGACGAACAAGCAACAAACACTTGGACATGCAACAACATTATGATTATTAATTAATAATTAATTATTCATTCAAATCATATAATGTTTGACAGAATAAACAGAACAGAAGCACTCAAAATATTATAATAGATGATGGGTCATTTGTTTAGTCCAACAAAATCTTGGGTCTACCAATTTGGCAAGAAACCAAAAAGCCTTAAGCCAACAGCGTTTGGTGCACAAAAATGACTAAACTTTGCACACAAAGTCCCAAGCATAAAGACTACTCTATGTGTCAATGTGTGGTAAAATTAAATATGCAAAACCAAAAAACATAAAGAGACAAGAAACCATGCTTACTTACCAACTAATCCCATCTTCTTTGTTTCATTCTTTCTTTGGCAAAATATATAGGAATTAGTTAATTAAGAGAAAAATATTATTTTATGTCCCTGTATTTTTGTTCGATGGCGATCGAGGGAAACCCTACGGTCACTACTCGAGGGTGTGCACTGGGTAAATAACATTTTTATATAATAGTTCACAAATCACACATGAAAGGTAAATCGTACTAAAAAGGCCTTGTACAACGGGTTCGATCGAAAAGGTGTTGGCAGGAATCAAACTTGTGACCGCACTAAGCATTATATTCCTTGTATTTGTTTGATGGCTGCCCTGTATTTTAAGTCCATGTATTTAATTTATACAAAAAAGCATAAGTTAGTGTGAACACTATTGACCCTCTAATTTTTCATAAGGTAATGGTTTTGGTCCATTGTCAATGTAAACAGTTAAACTACGTTGATGTTACATTACATGTGTAGAGCATGTTAGTCAATATACATAGATAAAATTGTAATTTATAATTTTAAATCCTTAAAGTGTTCGTTAACTGATTGTGGAATCAAAACTATTAGAATCATCACTTCGTGAAAAGATGAACTAAAACTGTTAGTTTGTACCAAAAAAAATGACAATAATACATATGTTAGCAATTGAGTGATTGAAATTGTTATTTCATATATATGAGGGAAAAAAATACTTATTATATTCCCATAAATAAGTAAGAGAGGTCAAGCATGCATGTAAATGAGTTGGTCTGATGCAAATTGGTAATTTGGTCGGTTATATATAGAAGATAATGATTTTAAGAAAATTAAAGATACTTCAATTCATTGATGACACTCTGTCATGCCCCAACTTAATTGAGTCAAAGAAATTAAAAAATCATAACAACAAAGAGTATACACTTTTGGAATTGCTTTCACAAACGTTCTTTTTTTTTTTTTTTTTTTCCATATATAATGGCCATCCTCAAGGCCAATAACAAGTGGAGGCTTTTGGTATGATGAAAAGAAAATAAATATTTGTCTCTTCTATAGTTTGTGACTGTTACACAAAAACGAGTTTATTCCGTATATATTCTCAAATAGTGATTGTAGATATTCTTACCATTCGAAAAGTGATTAAAAAAAAAAAAAACTAAACATGTAAAAAAATGATTTATGCGTTTATTTGGTATATATTGTAAAAATTAAAAATTTTAAGGAATTACTTTTTTGGAGGATTATTATGGGATATATCATATATATAGTGGATTCAGTTTTTGAATTGTTAATTGACACGTTTGCATTAGGTCTTCAAGTTGATGGCACAATATTCATAGAAGAGTTAATTTTACATACTCTTGATCTTTTTGATAGTTATATATTGTGTCGTTTGTATTTTTAATACTTGATCATCAATTCAACTATGTCTACTATATCAACTTTTTAAAATCAACCAATTCTATTCCAAAATGTCTAAAATCTCATATGAAGTAATGTGATGTTTGGTGAAAATAATATAGGTATTTTGAATTGAATTTGATTAAAAAAAATTTATAAAAAAAGTTAAGAAACTAAAAGTGAAATTATGGGTGATATATATATATATATATATATATATATATATATATATATATATATATTCTAAGTGGAGAACAAGTCATACATCTTGATTTCCACTGCAGGCTCATGGGAACTAATATCCACACACACACACATTGAGCTTTTGTGCAAAAGAGAGAGTGAATGATTATCTTTATTGCTTTGTATATTCTTATATATAAATCAAACAACTATAAATGCTTGCCCTAGGTCCAATTGCTAATTGCATCGCAAACTGTGTAAGTGAAGTGCACAGTTACACACTTGGCGAAATCTAAGTCATTGATCTCAAGCATTCAATGATCCAGATCTATCCATACGGACCTGAGTCCATCCCTTACCATGAGCCCGTATGGACAGATCTGAGCCATTAAAAACTAGAAATCAATGATCAAATCTGGCATATTATCAATTGTGCAACTGCAATTGCACAGTATCACAGTTGCACAGTTAATAATGAATCATATCTTACCATTGATCTCTAGTTTGGATAAACTCACTTGAACAGTGACCTCTATATATATATATAGCTTGAATTGCATCAGTTCATTTAAAACTTTAAATAATCTTTAGTGATGAAAATCAAAGATATTATAACCAATTCAACACAATGCTTTATTCCATTAGATTATAGTGAAAAAAAAAAATTAAATTTCTAAGTGGGATATATGATATGCAATCTTTAGTGATGGAAGTTGAATTCAACAAGGTAGGGTTGACTTCCCACAATCCAAATTTAAGATTGTAATAATCATATGATTACAACATGCATGAGGACCTCAATTCAATAATTCAAGAAATGTTATAAAGAAGTCCAAGGTATATACCACAATGTCAACCTTTACCACTCACCATTCACCAATATAATGTTGTCATGATGATGATATGATGCTTTAATTCATGAGTAAGTCAAGTGCAATATCTAACAAAATGATCATCATCACCAATTTCTTTCTTAGCTTATTCTTTTTTGTTTTTAATTTAATGATGAAGAAAATAACAAGATAATGCTTATCATTGTATGGTGGATGAAATATTTCTTTAACATGTGAAAGATTAGAGTATCGTCATTTATAAGTAACCACACAGAAAAAGTAGCCACAGTAGAAAGACCCTATAAGAATGTGTTAGCAAGAATCAAACTTGTGATCTTTTGGTACGAGAATCATGTTCTACTAACTTGGCCACCCTTTCAAGGCAGCCACAACATATTTTTCTTTTTTATGGGAGAGAGAGTGTGAAACTAAGGAAGTGCTGGCTGGGGTTATTTTAGAAGGTAGATTTAGTGGTAATTAAGCAGTATTTGAAGATATAATTGGATAGTTGGGAAGAGTGTTTAGTGGTTAAATTAGGAGCAAATTAAATTAAATTAAGTGAGTGTAATACATAAAATGTCCAAAGTTTTATTATAATGTCTGCATGGAAAAAAAAAAAAAATACATGTCCATCTAAAGTAAGACATCATGAAAACGACAGTAAATTTGGAATGGACTATGTAGATTGTAAGTAGTACATCAAATAAAGTCTAGTTGTTGTGACTACACTGTATTATCCTGTGTTCAATTCCTTGGGTATAACACATGCACCCCAATAGCAACAGGGATAACATCAAACACATATAAGAGCAGACACCATTGGCTCTTTTTTTTTTTTTTTTTTTTTTTAAAAAAAAAAATTTGCAGCTTTTGATTTGGGTGAGGTGGAGGAAGGAGAGAGAAAAAACATGATTTACTGTTAATAAAGATTTTTGGGTATGATTTTTTAGGAAGAAATTAAAATAAAAATTACATATGAAGTACAATTCATGTGCCTATGAAATTGACGGCTACTATTGTTTTTTTTTTTCGGGGGCCATAGTTAATGGTTAACCAATCTTAACGGGTCATGTCAATGAGTATTTTTACTCCAAAAGTAATTCCATCAATTTTTTTTGCAAAAACTAATACTTAGTATTTAATTTAATGTTAGTATATAAATTTTACATATTAAAAACTACATCAAGAGCATTATTAAATATAAAAAGTCGATCAGTTAAAAATCATTATATTTAGAAAATGTTGAGAAAATAAGAGTTAATTTTTTCATCAAAGGGAGTGGGTTAACCCAATATATAGTCTAGTGTTGAAGAAAATAAGAACAAATTTTTTCATTGCAGGGAGTGGGTTAACTCAATATATAGTCTAGTGTTGTCTCTTGTAGCCTCTTCTCGGGCTGGGCACTCTTAATCTATCTTTCGAAAGAACTTGCTGGTTGATGTCATCAGTGGTCTCATGGATCTCATCCCATTGCGAGAAGGTTCCTTGCCCGATTTTGTTCCCTATATATATGACACAGCTCGATATATCCCACTCTTTAATTTCCACAACCAATCTTTGCACCCTTCAATAATTTGTTGGAGAGGACTCGGGCTTATCTACTTCTCTTTGATCTAAATAAGAACTAATTTGACTCATTAAAAGTAAACATGCAAGAAAAATGTGATAAAATAGGTAATAAAGACTAAATTAAAAATCGTACAATGTCTTAATTTACAAGCTATATATTACACAGGAGCAAAATTTACTTAGTACATACTATAGTGAAGGGTAATAGAATAGAAGATAATAATTGAGGGAAAGACTACATCCACACATCAAACTTAATCCTGAAAAATATGGTGTGGCATTAGACCAAATCTTCAATAAATATTAACACAATTATTAGTATCATCATCATCATCTTTGAACCACAGTTTCATATTAATTCTTGTCTTCCACTAACTAAGCACATCTTAACCACATACTTATCCTATGCATGCTAGCTTCCACTCCCACACTCAATAAATATATATAAATACACACACACACACAAAACATACTTTTTTTTTTTTTTATTTATATTACTCTACATATATGTTTTTCAATTCTAATATTATTATCCTCAATTCTAATTAATTAATGCCATATTGAAATTATGATCTTCAATTTCTATACCATGTATTTACCAATCATTTATATATAAAAAATTATAGGGTGTAGGGTCCTGTAATTTCTTTTATATTCAAAGTTGACTTTTGATCAAATTTAAAAACTATTCCAAGCCAAAAGTGGTTAGTATAATAGTACATTCACAATGTTCAAACTTGAAACTATACTTAAACGAACCAAACTTTTTAATTTTTTATTTATTTTTATAAAATTTACATCAGATTTTCTAGCTTTGTCAGACCATACTAAGTCCAAAACCATCAAGACACCACTCACAGAACCTTGAAAAAAGATAAATCACAAGATATGTCTCAACTAGCTAGCTCTAGGTTCCCATCAATAGTTTATACACTATTTTGTGCAAGAAGCCAACAATATTTGCACTGATTGGTCAACCTCTCATGGCTTTAGGGTTTAGGTGCCGTAGTACGATTCCACGGCTGCGATTGGTTCTCAGTTTTCTCCTAAAATCTAACAATGCAATCGTATCCGGTGCAGTGCAATCATGTAGTAGTTGCAATGCAATTCTTCAGTAGTTTGGAAGTTTGTAGGTTAAGATTGATTCACACATTGCATGATTATGAACCTATACATACATACATACATATATATATATATATATATATATATATATATATACACACACACACACTTAACACTCACAAAGAAATAAGAGATATAATTAACATAGTGTGTGCGTGGAACACCAAAAATGTGAATGGGCCACACTACTAAGCAAGCTACAATTGCAAGGAAGTTCAACTTGGTGCTTTACTTTATCCTTGTCATGTCAATGTACAGTAAGTGATCATATGGAAACGAATAATACTACATATACTCTCAAATTTCACTCTATTATTCATTTATATTTACGTGATATGTTTTGATTCATCCTGAAAAAATATTCACACTTTTTATTACGTTTTTTCTCTTCTATCAATAAAATTACAATAACACGTGACTAGAGTTTTACTCCTTAGGAATCCTTGTATCGTTTTCATATGGAATCATAGTTGTATGGGGTTTGGATAGGGTGAATGAATGAGTATCCTTCACATTATCACATTCATCTAATCGATTGGGTTCCTCTCACACTATCACAGTGTGTTTTTTGTGTTGTTCCTTTAGGAAAGCTCACCAAAATGGTTTCTTTCAAATCAATCTGTCTTTACTCAAATCTATACACAGTTTGAAAGCATAGACCACTCACTGTTTGGGAAATTGACTACATTTCTAACAATTCATTCATCAAGATATGATTCTTGGGGTGGATGTGTTTATGGTATCTGCATTGCACTATTTAAAACGAATTTAATCGAGTTTCGGTTGGGTCTTGTTGCTAGTATGCATTAATTAAGGGCACATATAGTTGTCTTTGCTATTGACTATTACTTTTTTTTTTCTTTTTTTTTTTCTTTTTTATATATTAATAAACACAACAAATCATGGGTGTTTTGTTATGAGTTATAACTTTTGATGCAATAGTAACGACAAGAGTAACTATAATAAGAGTTTTTGAGGGTTTTTTTTTTTTTTTTTGGTCAAATTTGTGGTCAGTTTGATGAGAGTGTGAGAATACGTTGTAGGAGAGACAATTTTTTCTGACATCCGGTAGCCCCACACTGAAAAATAATATAAAATAAAGTTGACTAGTGCACGTTTCGTGCACTAGCAGCGCCCTACAGGGGCGCGTGGACTAAAACTCATCTGTTGTGGATGCTCTAAACGCCAGATGGTTCCAACCTCATTCAAGGGCATCTCTGCCTTGCAGCGTACATATTACATACTCTCCCACTTGAGTCAACACACTTTGATGCTTGACTTATTTTCACCTACAACTAAGTACTGTTGACAGCAATTTTCCAAGTGTGGCAATGAGTGGGTAAGATGAAATTGTGGCAGGTGGGCCACACCACTATCTATGAGTCAATTCTTTGGGAAGGAAAGACATCACAGTCCAAAACAAAGGACATGGAAATGGAAGGGGAGCAATATAAATAAGAGGGCAAGTCTTACCATGAGACTTGCATCAGAATCACCAAAGAAAGACAAACTTTTTAGGTTTCTGAGAAACTCAAGTAGACTATGTTGTTCTGACAGATTCTGTCATCAAAGAAACAACACACCCACACACAGACATTGTTTCCACCTGTTAGAAAACTCCCAACTTCCCAAGGTTGTTGGTAATGGACAGAGGGGGGACCAAAAAGGTAGGTTCCAGAGGGGAGTCTGAGGATTCCCAGGAAGTGTCTGTTGATTGGAAGGGCAGACCTTGCAGGGATGACAAACATGGTGGCATGGCTGCTGCTGTTTTTGTACTAGGTATCTCTCCCTCTACCTCTACCTCTGTCTGGCTGTCACTGTTGTGTGTTTTTTTCTGTTGTTCTAACCTATTCTGTCTGGTGTTTCAGGCCTGATGTCGTTCGAGATGATGGCGATAGCAGCTGTTGGGAACAACCTCATCACTTATGTCTTCAATGACATGCATTTCCCTCTCTCAAAATCTGCAAACATAGTCACAAACTTCATTGGCACTGTCTTCCTCCTCTCCCTCTTTGGTGGCTTCCTCTCTGATTCCTATCTGGGCAGCTTCTGGACCATGCTCATCTTTGGGTTCATAGAGCTTTCTGTAAGTATATCAGTGTCTCTATATATATAACCTCGGGGGTGTGGTTAAGGTGGAATGGGCTCATTCATCCTTAATCAAACCAAACGTCAAGGGATTGATCCTTGGCCCTGGGTATGAAACAACCTTAAATCTCCAGGCCAGTTATCCCACCCTTAGAAGTGCCTACAATTCAGCGAGGGGATTAGACAGTGGATACCTGGGTTACACCCAAAAAATATATGTATATGTACATATGCATAATATTCTGGTTTTGGGTATTGCAGGGATTTGTGTTACTGGCTGTGCAGGCTCATCTACCACAGCTAAGGCCAGAGAAGTGTGACATGGGGCTTAGCAGAGGGCAGTGCCCAGAAGCAAAGGGCTATAAGGCCACAATATTCTATTTGGCACTCTATTTGGTGGCTTTAGGGAGTGGGTGTCTAAAGCCAAATATAATCTCACTTGGGGCTGATCAGTTCAGGAAGGATCATCCCAAGCAATCCAAGAAGCTCTCAACTTACTTCAACTGTGCCTACTTTGCCTTCTGCTCCGGGGAGCTTATCGCGCTGACTGTTCTGGTTTGGGTGCAAACGCACTCCGGAATGGACTTGGGGTTCGGGGTATCTGCTGCTGCCATGGCTGCAGGACTGGTGAGCTTGATATCGGGGAGTTTTCGGTATAGAAACAAGCCTCCCAGAGGGAGTATTTTCACTCCAATAGCCCAGGTACTGTGCTGCTGTGATCTTCAGTCTTCAGTTCCATTTTCTTGATTTTGGTCTTTTCTGATTGTGTGTTGTCGGTTGTCATCTTTTAAGGTCTTTGTGGCTGCAATCACAAAGAGAAAGCAGATCTGTCCATCCAATTCAGAAATGCTCCATGGAAGCAGTAGCATTAACATGGTATCAAAATCCAGCAGCCTCATCCACACTGATAAGCTCAGGTGGGCAGTAAAATCAAGGTTTTTTGAGTGACTATGGAAACCCGTAGACACTACCTGATGGTGTGCACTGGGTAAACCCTAGCCGGCAAATGACCACAAGGAAGTAAACCAGCCTAGGTTGCTCATAGCTGACCAACTCAAATCAAGAAGGCCAATAGACCGCTCCTACTAGGAGTTGAACTTGGAACCTTATGGTTACCAAGTAAATAGTCTGACCAACTTAGTTGAAGTTGCCCTGTAAAATCAAGATTTTGATTCTATCCAGAAATAGTCAAAATCTGTTTGTTATTTAGAATTGTTGGTTGATTTTACTGAGCCTAAATGGCAGGTTTTTGGACAAGGCCTGCATCAAAATACAGAATGGAGTAGAGAGCCCCTGGAGACTATGCACAGTGACACAAGTGGAGCAAGTGAAGATACTGATCTCAGTTGTGCCAATATTTGCCTGCACAATCATCTTCAACACTATCCTAGCTCAGCTCCAGACATTCTCGGTCCAGCAAGGGTCTGTCATGAACACTCGCCTCGGGGCCAAGTCCTTCCAGATCCCCCCCGCATCTCTCCAGGCCATCCCCTACATCATGCTCATATTCCTGGTGCCCCTCTATGAGATGGTTTTTGTCCCCATTGCCAGGAGGCTCACCGCGAAAGACTCTGGGATTTCGCCCTTGCAGAGGGTGGGCATCGGGCTTTTCATCGCCACTTTCTCCATGGTCTCAGCTGCAGTGGTGGAGAGCAAGAGGAGGAACTCTACAGCCACGCTATCCATCTTCTGGATCGCCCCGCAGTTCCTCATCTTTGGGCTGTCTGAGATGTTCACAGCGGTGGGACTGATCGAGTTCTTCTACAAGCAGTCATTGGAAGGGATGCAGTCATTCTTGACAGCCATGACATACTGCTCTTACTCCTTTGGCTTCTATCTCAGCTCTCTTCTCGTGTCTTTGGTCAACAAGATTACCTCAACTCCTAAAAAGGGAGGGTGGCTTAGTGACAATGATCTCAACCGAGACAGGCTAGACCTGTTCTATTGGCTGTTAGCTGCTCTTAGCCTCATCAACTTCTTTAACTATCTTTTCTGCTCCAGATGGTATTCTTACAACCCCTCGGTATCCCCAGCCGCCGCCCTAAACCAACCTCAGCCTCGGGACTTAGAGACTGCAAATTCTAACTCTTTGTAATGGATATGCAGATGGAAAGCTAACTGAACACATTAGGATCTGATTTCTAGCTAGCATTATCTGTCAAAAAAGTTTGTAAGATGATTACTACTACTACTACTGCTATGTAGACTTGATCAGGGTGGTGTGTTATAGTGCAGCATTAATAATTGACAGTGTGTGTGTGTGTGTGTGACATGGACACACAAGACTCCCTTGATGGGCAAGGGTGAAAAGAAAGTTAGGTCTAAGAGTCTAAGACTATCAACAACAAGATTCATGGTATTGTCGGGCCCGGATGTGGAGCTCTTGGGGTCAGGGATTTTGCCTTTTGTGTGGCAAGATTCATGGTATTCTAGCTTCATCCTTGATTCATTTCTCCACAAACATAGTGTAAAAAACACAAAAAGAGGGTCATGGGGTTTGGTCTCTCTCCCCTTTCTAGTAGAAAGAATTGCAGAGAAATATTGAGTGGTGGGGTTGAGCTTTATGCTTTAATTAAAGGGATAAAACTATTCCTAAAGCTATATGCTAGATGTGATTTTGTTATTGTTTCTATTGGGCGGAGGCCTAAAAGGTCATGCCAACCATCCAGCTGTCGGCGTGTATTAAAAACATAACGCTAACTGTTACATAAATATACAGAAATAAAGTTGTGCATTCGTCTATCAATTATACTTTCTGGTATAATTGTAAGTGTTTGATCTTAACAATTGATATTGTACTTTTACTATCAATTATAACTTTTGACGTAATGATAAACACTAGATTCAATTCAAGATTGCAAACTTCCATAGGTTTTTTGGTGCCTAATGTTTCCTTAACCTCATTCCATGACAAACCCATTTTCACTAATGACACTCAGAAAACATGTCCCCAACATGTTTTATAGTGGATACAACTAGGACTTTGATTTTTACCTGCTTTTCACATGCTTAGCTAAGCATGATGTTGTCCTTGCAACTCTGAAAAATGTTTATTAAGAGAAGAAATTTTTATTTTTCTAAGAAAACAAAAAAAAAAAATTGAAAAATATTTACTTGTACATTTAGAAAAAAAAAAAAAAAAAAAAAAAAAAAAAAAAAAAACAGATAATGAAAAATGAAAAAGGCAATAGAAAACATAGAATTAAAGTAATCGCAGATGGAAGTTTTATCATGATTTTTCCATTTACCTAAGAGTAACACTATTGGTTCTAAATTTTGAATTTTTTTCTTGAAGTTTTTGTCAAAATAATCCTATGTAGATGAGAGATAGGAGAGGAGTGAGAAAAAGCTACGCTCTGCTAATTGATAGCTTTTACCTCGGAATTCACAATCTAAAAAATACTTTGGTGCGTGTTGCACACACCAAAACTACCCAATAAGCATGTGTAGTTCATGCGCCCGTTAGGAGCAAGTGAGGTGATAGTAAATACGGCGACCACCCCAATTTAAAATCTCTTTTTTATTTTTTTTCTTTTTTCTCTCTCCCCAATGTGGTTGCTCTAATTGCATTTTACCAATATTTTCCTTTGATTGGGGAGTGAAGAATCCTGCACCAGAAGGATGACAGGGGAGCTCCTCTTAACAACTTGAATGCAGTTTACTGCTGCCTGGCAGTAAATTGAGCATAGGGATTTCATGTTTTACTCTGAAACAGATAAAATTTTCATTTTTACTTCCAACCACAGAGCCAAAATCCCAGACAGATAAACAGCTAAAACTATGGCCAATGTCACCAAACTACGATGCAGACTGAATCTTTGCATATCGTTTCTGAAAGGGTATACAGAAATGTTGAATAGCAGCACAGAGAAAGACAGACAGATCGAAGATTACGTGCAGAACACTGACCAAGAGAGACAGAAGTAGACAGTCTGTTGAAACATGAAACACACATGATTGAACTACCACAACTTGCAAGTTAACCCTCTCATCTAATTGAACTCGAACCAGCGGGGAGCCTTAAATAGGGTGCTGATATGCACACACTGATATCATCATGGCCACTGCACGAATGATTCAGTAATAACAGGAATTTGGTTCCCATGATCGCGGCTCCCCTCGTTAACAGGTATACATACCCACTCACTTTCGTTTCTCAGCTTTGTTGCACAGGTAACTGGTAGAGTGTAGGATGACCCAACTGTGAATTAGTGACTAGAAACCAAAGGCTCTGATTGATTCATGTCTTAGAAACACATTTTCTATATAACCCGAACATCATATATCATCATTATTATTGCATATGATGCATAGACATCTGTAAATTGTGTGCCAACATCCTTTCTTCATCCTAGAGTTTGGTAAATAGGACACTTCATGGGCACAATCAAGAGCTTTCTGCAGATAGTAAACAATTTCAAGAAAATGCTTACTTGTTCTCCCATGAAAATCAAGAAAATGGATGGGTGGTGTCTGGTGTACTCTTTTGTGGTCACGAAGAGAGTTATGCTGTGTTTGGATGGATGGAAAAAGGAAATTGGGGCGGATAATATTAGTTGTCTGTTGTTCGGGTGCGAAAGAAAATGGAGGGGAAAGAAAATGAGGAGAAAATGGAGGAGGAAATATAATCCTTCCTCCAAGCAGATAATTTTTACCTTCCCAAAATGAGAAGAAAAAGGGGAGAAAGTTGATCCTCCATTTCTCAACACACAATACACATTCAGCCTAACTCCTCTCTCTCTCTTCTCAATACATTTACTACCTCCCCATTTCTCACTTTCTCTCTCTCTTTCCTCTCATTGTCTTTCCTTTCACTTTCTGCTGCCAAACACACCATTAACCATCCATTCATGGCTATAAATCCTAGTCTTAAGGCAGACACTTGAGATAGTTATGGTTAGGACAGACAGAACATAAATCTTATTTATTCATGATTTGATAGCTAGCCTCCGCTTAGTACATTGGTTCGTGTGGAGGGTCTGAAAAACGCAGATTATAGGTGGCTGCAGGTGCAAAAGAAGCTAGTACCTGGACTGCAGCTGATCTTGTGGTCGAGGCAGCTCAACAGCAGCGAGAGTTCAAAAATGAGGGGGAAAGCGGTTTCTGGAAAAGCCATATTTGTGCTCTGCGTTGCAACCTTCCTTGCAGGATCACTTTTCAGCAGCCGGACTTGGAACCTGCATTCAGACATTACAGATGACATGAAACTCAGAACTCTCAACCGTGACTGTGATCACAAGCGCGTAAGCTTAAAATAAAATTACATGTATAGCTTGCTCATTTTGTGTCTTTGTTTTTTCCTCATCAGAAGTACCTTTTATGTTTTGTTTGATTAGAAACTTGTCGAAACTAATACAAGAGACATCATGGGAGAGGTCAAGAAGACTCATCATGCTATCCAGTAAGACAAGTACAGAACTCATTGCTTGAACTGAATGGTTATTGTAAATAAATGAATCTTTTTTTTATTATTTTTAAAATTTTAATTCCTAAAATAGGTCACTTGAAAAAACAATATCAACATTGGAGATGGAGCTGGCCGTTGCAAGAACAAGCCGAATTGGCAGCCAGACTGCAACAGAAGGAGCCGCTAATCACAGCCTACAGAAAGCATTTGTTGTCATAGGGATTAACACAGCATTTAGCAGCAGAAGAAGGCGTGACTCTCTCCGCGAAACATGGATGCCAAAAGGTCTTTCTCCTTCCCTCCTTAACCCCCCAGGGGAAAAAAAAAACACTACAAGATACTAGTCTTAGACAGTTGTCAGGTTACTTTTACCCCAGGGTCTTACATATCTAAGTAATACACAGGAGATGAGCTAAAGAAATTAGAGAAAGAGAAGGGGATAGTCTTACGATTCGTGATAGGACACAGTGCCACCCCAGGAGGAGTCCTTGATCGAGTCATTGATGACGAGGAGGCTGAATATAAAGACTTCCTCCGGCTCAATCATGTAGAAGGATACCACGAGCTCTCCACCAAAACGCGCATCTATTTCTCCACTGCTGTCTCCATCTGGGATGCAGAGTTCTATGTAAAAGTGGATGATGATGTCCATCTCAATCTGGGAATGCTAGCCAGCACTCTGGCAAGTCACAAGTCAAAGCCGAGAGTCTACATTGGCTGCATGAAATCCGGACCAGTTCTCTCCAGGCTGTAAGTCAAATAAATATCAGATCAGAAACCACACTGTATATTCATTCAATCTGATCCATGAAAAAGATGCATGCATATTTGCAGGGGAGTAAAGTATCATGAACCTGAGTTTTGGAAATTTGGAGAAGAAGGGAATAAGTATTTCAGGCATGCCACCGGCCAAATATATGCCATCTCCAAGGACCTTGCTGCCTACATCTCCATAAACTCGTAAGTCACTTAAAAGAACAATTAATAAACACAAAAATCCTGTATACCAGACCTTACCTTTTAACCAGAGAATGCACTGAATCTGCAAATGGCAGGGGCATCTTGCATAGATATGCAAACGAGGATGTGTCCTTAGGAGCATGGCTCATTGGTCTGGAAGTAGAACATGTTGATGAGAGATCAATGTGTTGCGGTACTTCTCCAGGTAAAAACTCAAATCAACTGCTTCCTAGCTTCTTCAAGTATTAACACTTAACAGAAATAACAGATAAAGAAATACATAAAATGTCAGACTGTGAGTGGAAAGCAAACGCAGGGAATGTGTGTGTGGCATCATTCGACTGGTCATGCAGTGGAATATGCAAATCAGTGGAAAGGATGAAACAGGTGCATCGTTCATGCGGCGAAGGTGAAGAAGCTGTTTGGAATGTTAATTTGGAATGAATATAGAATTTGTAACTCATAAAATACTGAAAGAAGTGGCAGAAGAGTCTATTATATTACCATTTCAATAATGTTTACATTTGTACTTTTTTGACAGAATTTTCGATTTTGTCATAGGTTGAGAAAGTTCTTATCTAGTATAATAAATTTCTAACTTTGTTAGAGCTGTTTTTCACAACACAAGAGAGAAGAAAAATAAAAATTAGAAGCTATCAACGCATCCTTGTACACTTGCGGCAACAGCCTCACAAGTGTTCCTTCTTGAGTGCTGATAAATCTCTGACTGCTCTCCTTAGAGCAACATTCTGTTTTACCACATCCTTGTAGGCCTGCAGCAATTTCTCCACATCTTCGATTGTGAGTTCCCCAGCCTCAGCTTG